ACCCATCAGAAATGCAAAAAAAGCAAAGCAGAAAGCGAGCAAAGCATGCAAGACCCATTGGAAATGCAAAAAAAGCAAAACAAAAAGCAACCAAACCACGCAAGACTCATTGGAAATGAAGGGGGGACCCAAAAAGCAAGCAACCCCCCAAGACACATCGGGAATGGGAAAATAACCCATAAAGCAAGCAAAACCCCCAAGACCCATTGGAAATGGGGGAAAAGAAACCCAAAAAGCAAACAAATCCCTCAAGACCCATCGGAAATGGGGGGGGAAAAACAAAAAGACAAACAAACCCCCCCCCAAGACCCATCACAGCATAGAAACATAATCCCACCACCCAACCCAAAAGCACATCTGCAAAACCCATCCAAACAATTTTTAAGAAGCAGAAAGCAGCACTTTAACTTACTAGGCAGTCTGAAGCCTCCTCTGATCACACTCACTCTTACTGTTGGGGCAAAAGAGCTACAAAGAAGCAGCCTCATTGCCTATCAACAGTTAGCAATTTGAATTCCCTGCCTTTTCCCCCCTGCCTTTTCTGGTTATAACTCGAAGCTCCAACCACAAGTTGAAGCAAAATTTTGCGGCCGGAGCTGGTCGTAACTCAAAATGGTCATAAATTGGGACGTTCCTAACTCGGGGCACCACTGTAAACATAACACAAGCAGCAACATAAAATGCATTTCCATCGTTTTTTCTGTTGTTGTCTCAGTTCACATAACGTAAGCATTCTATTGTTTACTTTTTTCATCATGAAAACTGGCACGAAACTCAATGAACTATTTCTACTATCTTATCAGTTCCATTTGTACCAAAACAGGCAAGTTGTCTTGGTTTTATAACATAAACAATCTTCACAGAGCACTTTCCGATTGTCCTTTCGCTTTTAATGCACTTCCTTGAGGCATATTTTAAAAGACAGTTTTCCTTTTTAGGGCAACATAAATTCAGTGCTTTTAACTCTCACATACAGTATGATTAAAAACTTCTTATTATGCAAAAAAACAAGGGGCACGTCCCTTTTAATTGTTCCTAAGTCTGCAGCCACTCGTTTTTTTCTGCATGATGTCACCACCAACCACTGGTGTTATTGTACATTTTGAAATTCAGATTCTCATTATAGTATCTGTAATTAGTCAGGTGTGATCTAGACAGCTAGATTGCTCTATTTATTTATTTATTTATTTATTTATTTATTTTATATCCCTCCTATCTAGCCAACTCAGGACCACTCTATATCAGCAATTGAGGACCAGGAATTTTATAAAGTTAATGGCTCTTAATAGCCAATTCAGTAGCAAGCTACCTTTGGATACAATGTACTTGTCCGAGAAAATCCATTTCTCTCCCAGATGCGATGAGAATTGCAACTAAACAGGAGAAAAACTGAGGGATGTGACAGATGCTGGCATAGTCTAGTGGCTCCCAGCCATGGGTTCCCAGATGTTATTGGATTAAAACTTCCAGAAGCCTTCACCACTAGCTGTGCTGTCCAGGATTCCTGGGAATTCTAATCCAAGAACATCTGGGGACCCAAGGTTGGGAACCACTGTCATAGTCCCTGTCATTCATAAATTCTTGTGGCTTTGACCCTGTGAGCCAGGACTCCACTACACTACTGCCTCCACTGGATTAAAGTGGCAACCAATGTGAGTTGGTGTGTCAGTTGCAGTGTCGGCTTCTGTTTTAATACATATTATCATATATTAACGCTAGAACAAAAAAAAAAAGCTGCGTGTTGTGAAGTGTCAGTTCAGAACCCTTTTAATCCACATTGATGTGGCATTTTTCTGACATGTACATCTGTCCCTATTTTGATTCTTCTGATAATGAAATTTCCACAGGCGGTCTGGCAGAAACATATTTAGTCCGCATTGAAGAACAAACCGTTCATTGTATAAATTCAGGAGCACTCTCTGTTTTGCATGTATTTGTGCTATAAATTCTTTTCTCTCTATCTGCATTTTCTTCATGTACCTGTACTGAGATCGCAGTCTGCTGCACTTTAAAAAGTCTTTTAAAGTGCTGCAGTTACAAATGGAAATGTAATGGTCTGTGACACAGCTATGTTCCTTGAATTCCAATTCCCAGGTGGCATTCATAGCACTCTTCAGTAGTGGCAATGGAATCTTTCTGTATGTAAACATATTGTTAACTATGGAAATGACATCACTGATTTCACAGTGACTTTTGACATACCTTGATAACATGCCTACGTGAGATTTCAGGGGCTTGTGGTTCTGGAGAGTGGGAGGAGCTCATTCATCTGATTCGAACCACACCAGGGAAATAAAAACAGAACTGTTTTCTTGGCTTGGTTAGAATAATCAAGGCTTGGAGAAAGAATATAACTTGCTATAGAATACACACTTCACTCACAGCAGATCCTAGATTCATTTTCCACCTTCTCGTAGGCCTGGATTGATGCCTATTTAAAATCTTGAATTGTAAAAACACTATGGGCAAGTGTCAAAAATAATGAGCTACAAGGACCAATGATCACTAGTGGAAGCTTCCTATGTAGGAAGGGCCACATAATAGCTTTGAAAGCATGCGTGGTTTCCCACTCAAACTCTAGCATCTCTCCAGGAATCAAGTGAAATCAAACCATTTTCCCTAACACCTTCTAGCATGGAAAAATCCTGATCTGACCTGACAATGCATCTTATTATGTTCCTAGTTATATTCCTAAATTAGGTTCCTAATCTTAAATGTGACTCTTAGTTCCAAAATATGGGAACAAGATCCAAAACTAAACCCTCTTAAGCTTAAACACAAACCTGCTACCTTCTCTGCATCTCTCCCTGGCACTCACTCTGTCCTTCAAGTCCTATTAATGAGGGAAACAATCAATCTATTCAGTATTCCCAGCAGGGGCTTCTAAAGAAGTAGAGCAGGGATTCCTAGTTTTTTTGGTCTGATATAGGTTCTTGGGAAAATACATTGGCACAGTCCTTTTGAGTGATTCCTCCACTGCTTGCCCCTTGGTTTACAAGGACAGGAAAGTTCTCTCTACCTTCCTCCACTTTTCAAAGGGACTTTGTAGAAGTTGGATCCCACTGAATTAACAAGGTAATTTGAGATTGGCATGATCCTTACCATGGCACCATCAAATTAAATCGGGCTTGTTTGTAGACTGCACAATAAAAATCACAGATCTGGCATCTGTCAGCATAAATCTGCATGGATCTTCATGATTTATAAATGGGATACCAACAAAACTTGTTAGATTACAGAGAATATATGTAGATGTAGCTGACCTATCGTTTGAAAAAGATATACTGTACTCTGAAAATTATGTCAATTCATAATGCAGTAGTAATAAAAGGTGCCAACCTACTTCTATTAACATTTCATGGAGACAGATGTTTTCTGTAATGTTATGACAGTTTGCAAGGTGAATGGTAACATTATGTGTATCATTTCATAGGCATCTTTCAGTCTCAAGAGACTATGGTAACATGCTCTGTTTGGAGCACTTTGACGCTGTATGCGAAGCTGGAGTGTCCTCACCAGAGCACAAAGCCTGGGTAGAATAATATGGAGGATAGGCTGTTACCCAAGCAGCAATCCCCCCCCCACATCACTGAAATAGTCCAATGGAAAGGCAAGAGCAAATCAACTGGTTCCAGCGACGTCGCAGGAGTTGCCAGAACAACACGATATGCCTCAGGGACTCCGCCTCTGGATTTTGCCTCAAGGTTAACTCCCGAAGCCTTTTCCATCAGTGGATATAGCCACAAGGCAGTGGAGGTTTGGAATCGGAGTTTTCCTTCTCCTAGATGGGCTGCCTTCCCAGGCTAACGAGTCCCACCTACGCGGGCTATGTACACCAGGGGACTAGATTACATATTTCCATGATTTAGGTGATATATGTTTGTGTGTGTGTGTGCTCGCACCTGTGCACACGTGACTTCTCTCTGCCTATGCCTCTCTCATTGACACCCTGTTCTCTCTTCTCCCCTCTCTCTGTCTGCTCTACCACCTCTGGCCTTGTGCTTCTCTCCTGACCCCTGTGCCAGTGTTTCCATCCCTTTAGTTACTCTCCATTCTTCCTCTGCATCCCAACCTCTGTCAATGTGTCACTCTTTCCTGTGCCTCCCTCCATCATTGAGGAGTGACACCCCCCTTGAGCCAATGGGCTACATCTGCCTAACATCCCCCCCCCCAGTTTTTGCACGTTTCCTGAACCCTTCTCAGATTTTGAGACAGAAGTAATGGTGGTCCTTTCTTCCATTTTAAACAAATGACTAAGTTTCCTGCAGAGCAAAACGCGGGTGTCCATCTCTTGTGAGTGCTTTGGGGTTCATATGGGCTCCCCACACACTTTGGGGATGAGAGGCACGGGTAGAGCCTAGCACCTAGCTGTCTCATGAAACAAAATTAATTAAATAAAAACAATATAAGACAGGCTTATGGACAGCCTTGCAGGTACTGGTGCTGCAGTGGGCGTTACACTGGAAAAAAAAACACCCTTGTGTTCACCAGCGTTTTAAATCCAAAGCAGTCTGATAGCTGCTCAGTAGCATGACAGTGCCTAACACCCTTCCATACTTACTTTGCTTTTCCTCCATTGAGTCAGAATGCTACCAGTGGTATAGTCTCCCTTTGTGGCTTCGATGGCCAACTAAACTGTAGTAGCCAGCAAAGTAAATGTTCCACTTGTTGGATCATGCACAGTAAAACACTGGAAATTGTAACATTCTGAATTATGTAACAAGATTATAATACTTTGTTTGTTTGTTTGTTTTGTGAATAGAGTTGGACAGATTATCAGCATTAATGCAAAGGTAAACCGGGCATTCACTACAAGTATGGAGGTAATAAACTGTATTTACATTGATTTAATTTGTTTTAAGCTTGTACAGTATGTGTTATCTACACCAAATGAAGCAAATGTAGATGATTATGATAATTGCTGTCATTTATTTATTTGATTCATATCCTCTTCTTCCTCACAGGAGCCCAAGGCCACCAATAACCTACATTTAAAAAACCACAGTAAAATAGCAATTGTATGTATCTTAACAAAATGGAAAAAACTAAAATCACAGATGACAAATGTGCAGCACCACCACTCTGCCAATAAATTAGTATATACATTAGTATATACCCAAACTTCAGACCAATAAATATGCTTTTGGTGTTTGAGTGAAAAAAGCGCAAGAGACAACTGAATGAATATCTTATAGAAGGGAGTTCTACAGGCAAGGTGCCACTATTGAGAAGACTGTGCACATATGTAGACCCTACAGATGCTTCTGCTTTGGAACACAGCAAACAGAGCCTTTCCAGCTAAGCTTAAATCCTGTGTAGAAAAGCAGTCCTCTTGGTGGTTGGGTCCTGAACCGTTTATGCCTTTGTATACAAGGACTAACACTATGAAATTGACACACTGGAAGCTAGTGTGAACCCATTCCACTATAGGAGACTATAACCAATAGGGAGTGAAATCTCTCACACTAGTTTTTATCCCTTTCGTCACATCTCATTACCATCAAGGTACATGAGATAGTTACTTCTCAGAAAGAAGTACAGTCCTCCAGAGAGAGGACACTTACCATGCTACAAAATGAAGCCTATATTTATCTCCCAATGAACAATCATAAACTAATTTGCAAACTGCATAGATGAGAAAAGCTTATGCTAGGATCATTTGGCGTCTTATCAATTTAAAAAACTCAGCTTTAAATGCATAGTTTTTTGTCTTATGTAGTTTGACCCTCATAAGCCTGTCTTATCACAACATGAGGTGTCTCTTCTGTTTCTTGCTTAACAGTTCTAAAGGACATTGTAAATCCCTTAGCTTCTTGGACCTCTTTATTCTTGACATTTAAACATTTTCTGCCACTGCATTCATCTCCATTCACCTTTACACTGTTCTGATGGATCTACCCTGTAAAACCCAAGACCTGCTAACTTTTGAGATCAAGGCTACTGTGCCAAATTAGTCTACGCTTATCTTGAACTACCTCTCATATCTGTTTTGAATGAGTCAATATCTGTTGTACTGTACAAACATGTATAGATGTTTTTGCTCAAGCACTTCATCAAATTATTTTGAGCAGTATATATGTAAAATGAAAATATTTTCAGCCTTGTCTAGAAAATCAGTTCAAAATACACCTGCTTTGTTAGGATTAGGCATATACATCTCAGTTAAAGGGGCATGGCACATATAAAAAACCATGATGACCTATGCTGTCAAAATAGATACAGTGCTCTCTAGCATTCCAGTACATGGGGGAGGGGGGTAAAATCATATGTCACAGAAAACCCATTCGACCAGAAATCGCATAGTTTTCTAGAATGATGAGGAGGAAGACCAAAAAGAAATCAGACTTTCTGTTGTGAATATCAGCTGCAAAACTAAGCAAGCTAAATTGCAAGCTCCAGGAGATGAGAAAATCTGTAGCTGTGACAATCATACACGATCAACACTTAAAGAATTGCCTCTTCTAATGATGATTTATCTGAAACATACAGAAAAAGACCCAGAGAGAGCCCCTGAAAAGAGAGGATTAATAGAGGCAGACATTTTTCTAGTCTGGAACAGGTCAGAGGGAAGGCAAAAATGGTATCCAGTCCCTCAGAAGTTGCTCATCCCCGTGGTAGAGAGAAGGAACAGCTATCATTTCAAAAATGTGTTCTCAGTGATGTGACTGCTTGTTATTGTTACCTGCACACATAGGTCGGTGTAAAGGTTACATCACAGGATCCTCTTACTCAGCTTCAAAAACTGATCAGTGTGGCTTTCTCTACCTATGTGGCAAAACCATCTGGGAATAACAAGGTAAAATAATTCATTCAAAAACTTATGAGGCTACGTTCTTAAGTTTTATTAAATTACCAGAAAGCTTACAATACCTGTATCTTTATTTTGTTTGTTGGCAATAAAAAGATTGTAACATTCAATATTAAACTCCTTTTCTATAGCATCCAGATCGATTAATGTGGAAGAACAACTCCTCCTGGTTCTGACTTAGCTGCACTGATGGTTATTTCTTGCTAAAAATATGGGTTTTCTTAATACTTTATTCAGCATCAAACATACAGTTTGCGTGCAGATAATTATTAGCATTGTTCACGGTTAGCAAGTTAACCTTTGCCTCTGTTATATAAGCATAAAACTAGCAGTGTCATTTCAGACTCTCCATTGCTGCAAATGAATAGCAGAAATTGTAATCTTGTTAAAATAAATTACTAAGGATACTCTTCATTTTAACCCCCCCCCCAAAAAAATCAGGACAGCTTCTATCAGCAAAACAGGGTCAGAATTACCCTTGGGGAAACATCCAGAGTGGAGGGGGGAGCTGTGGGCAGTGAGTGGAGGGTGAAGAGGAGAAAGAGCTATTGTTGTTGTTACATGCCTTCAGGTTGGAAGCAACGTATAGGGACATAATAGGGATTTCTGTCATCAAAGCTACCAACATGAATTTGACCCAACTCCAGGAGGCAGTGGAAGACAGGAAGGCCTGGTGTGCTCTGGTCCATGGGGTCACGAAGAGTCTGACACGACTTAACGACTAAACAACAACAACAACAGGGATTTCAAGGTGAGATATTTAAGAAGTGGTTTAGCTGCCTGGATAGCTCAGTGGTTTAGATATCTGGCTGTACAGTCCGAGGTTGGGAGTTCAATTCCCCACTTGTGGTTCCAGGGAGAAGCGCCTGTCTGTGTTGCCTTGGGCAACCTGGAGGGTGTCCCCAGAAGAATGGAATGGTAAACCACTTCTCAATACTCTCTATCTGAAAAATCCTGAAAAAAGGGTCGCTATAAATCAGAACTTATTTGACAGCACATTATCATCATTATTTACTAGTTTCAGCCCCATTCCATGATCTTAAATCTGCTTATGTAATGCTGGATTTCCCCCCTTTAGACAAATCCAGAAGTTTCCCAACTCCATGTTATCCTTGTAAAGTGTGTGTAAGGGCAGGGATTTGTTGGTCAGAACTAGCAGGTGGGAGAGTGGCATTTAACCCTTTCCTGCCCTGCAGATGCCTCCCAGCATTTCTTGAACTGCTTGATATAAATATAAATGTTCAAGAAAATATATGGCAATATATTACTGGGGAAAGTACCTGTTTCTATTCCATATTAATGTAGATTAATGTAAAAATGCAGAAATAATTCTGGACACTGCTGTTGTTAAGCCTGTTTGTGCCCATCACCCACCTTCTTTAACTGTGAGTGCTGCCATCCAAATGATGAATATGGCAAACTTTTGGGACACTTGCATTCTGTTTGAGGCTGCCATCTAACCTGTGAACAGGGGTTCCTCTTTATAAATTATCCCCATCACCAGTCTAGGCAAATAGCCACTTTCTCCTGTTACCCTGCTGCTGAAGCACTACCACAGCTAAGGGGGGAAAATCTTATGTTCTCCTTTTAAGAAGTCAAAAATGCTTTTGATGAAAAACACAGCTTTAATTACTTTGGGGTTCCTATATAAACTATATGTCCCAGCAGTGACCAGCAGTATGTGTGGGCATAATGTCTTGTGGTTGCTGTTTCTAAAAATAGTTAAAAGGGGTTTATTTAAAGAAATACAAAAGAATAGGAAGGGTTACTTGACAAGTAGAAATTAAACAATAATATCCTTCAAGAATACAATAATAACATTCAAGCTCTTGGTTCTATATCATGTAATTGTAAGTCTTTGTTTTCATTATTTCTAACTTTTAAAATATGTCAGATCTTTACATGTATGTATGTATGTATGTTTGTTTGTTTATTTATTTATTAGATTTATATACTGCCCACCTAGAACGGGTCTACTCTGGGCAGTTTACATATAATATAAAAAATAAACTAAGATAAAATCCAGATTAATCCAAGATGGGAAAGGAAAAAAGAAAGAGGAGGAAGAAGAAGAGGAAGAAGAAGGAGAGAAAAGAAAAAGAAGAAAAGGGGAGATGGGCTAGGTAATGGTTGTAGGGAAGGCCTGCCTGTATAGCCATGTCTTCAAGTTAGTCTTGAAGGCCCTCAGTGAGGGAGCCAGGAGGATCTCAGCAGGAAAGTTGTTCCAAAGCCAAGGGACCACTGCCAAGAAGGCCTGATTTCTGTTTTTTTCCCACCAGGCCTCTCTTGGTGTTAGGCCTCTCAGCTGCCCAGCCTGACTGGAGCAGGTGATACGGGTAGAACTGGATGGAAGAAGGTGCTCTGCCAGGTATTGAGGTCCTAAACCATTAAGGGCTTTATATGTAATTGTTAACATCTTGAAATCAATGCGGAAGCGAATAGGTAGCCAGTGTAAGGCCGCCAAAGTGGGGGAGATATGGTGAAATCTTTTCACCCCTGTTAATAGCCTGGCCGCATTATTCTGCACCATCTGAAGCTTCCACATCAGTCTCAAAGGAAGCCCCACGTAGAGAGCATTACAGTAGTCTATTCTTGAGACTACGAGCACATGGACCAGTGTGGTAAGCGCCCCCATGTCTAGATAGGGATACATCTGCTGAAGATGGAAGTGGGCAGACCGAACCACGGATGCTACTTGGGTCTCCATGGTAAGCACCCGGTCAAGATGGATCCCCAGACTACGAACCAAATTCTTTGCAGTGAGAGTCACCCTTCCCCCACAAGAGAAGTTCCCCAAACAACTGACATCAGAGGCCCCCACCCGCAGGACCTCCGTCTTGTCTGGGTTTAACCTTAGTCCATTTGACTGCACCCATTGCAGAACGGCCTCCAGGCAACACTCAAGGGATGGAACACTGCAGAGGGAAAAAAGGAGATGTGGAGCTTCATGTCATTAATACGCTGATGAAACCCAGCTCTACATCCCTGGATGACCCTCCCCAGCGGCCTCATATAGATGTTAAACAGCATTGGGGAGATGATCGAACCCTGCAGAACCCCACAACTGAGGGACCACGGGGCCAATACATTCTCCCCAAGCTGCACTCTTTGAGGACCGCCCTCCAAGAAGGACCGGAACCAAGCGAGAGCAAGGCCACCAATCCCCAGCTTGGAGAGCCTCCCCAGGAGGATACCGTGGTTGACGGTATCAAAGGCGGCTGAGATATCAAGGAGGACGAGCAAGGACATTTTGCCCCTATCGGCCTCCCTAAGTAGGTCATCCAGCAGGGTGACCAATGCCGTTTCCGTGCCGTGGCCTGAAACCTGACTGAAACTGATCCAGGGCATCGGTTTCATCCAAGAGAGCCTGAAGCTGGTCAACCACCACCCTCTCAACTACCTTGCTGAGAAAAGAAATGTTGGCGGCGGGCCTATAATTGGCAGTGTTGTCCGCCGCCATGTAGATTAATGCTTGCTTTGACACATATTCCAACAAACCACACTTTTACAACTTTTTCACAAAATGGGCCACAATCAGTTCCAACTAAAAGCATTAACTCTAATTAATGCACAGCACTTACTGTATTCAACTCAAACTTTCCCCTCCGTCACACACACAATCTATATACAAAAGAGCATATATCCAGTCAGGAATCATAGCAACCAATGAGTTCACAGTTCTATTCATGATCATTCTTCTGCATCTCTCAGTTTTTTTTTTTTTACCTGCCATTCCTGGTACACCTCCAATGTACAACTGTCTGTCATCACTGGTCACCTACTATGACTGCAAATAGAAGCCTATATACAAAATGTATTTACCTTGTAAAGTTGCCACAGTCTTCAAAGTTGAATTTCTGTCTCACTTTAAAAGCATTGTTTAAAATCTTAATTTATTTAGGTTGACTTAAAACCAGTAGAACTTCTTACCATACAAGATTTCATAGAACATACTCTGGCTGCTGAGAGAAGAAAAGTTCGACTGGATCACAAAGACGTCCTTAAGAACCTGATGGAAGCATGTGGCACGGATGATGGTAAAACCATTTATATGTCTGCATGCTCTCCACTTCTCCACACGATGAGCAGTTCCAGAGACTGTGCTAGCTAGGTTAAATTCCTTCAGAAGAGGAAGTGCTAGAGACTTAGGGCACTTGCAATATTTGGTTTATTGCCTTATAGAAGTACATCATAAATGGAGACAAGCAATGTGCATGTCTACCAGGCAACGTGTTTGCTATCCCACACCAAATCCTAAGAAAACAATACCTCTAAGTGTACCAAGTAACTTCAGTATGCTTTTCCACGTACTTCTGTGTTTGTATCCCAGCTAGGCCTACTCTGATACTAGCTGTGGCAGTCATCTAAGGAAGTAGAAGCACATGGCCATCATGGCAGGAATACATTGGGAGAGCTGTGGGAGTACTGTGTGGCCTTCTCTGTGTTCCCTAAGTCATGCTGCTGCTATCACGTCATGCTGCCACTGACATGCTAGCTAGGAAGTTCTGGGAGTTGTAGTCCAAGAAAATAACTTGTTCTGTTACTGACTGTGGTGGAAGACACTGTCCAATCACAGTGTTTGACTGCTGAACTTCTGCATGTGAAATTGAAGAGATGTCTTTGTCTCAAAGAGCAAAATGTCTTGGGCTAGTTTTGGGCTGTATCTTGTCAGCATTCTCTTACTGTCTCCCTCTCTCTAGCTCTCTCTGGTATTATGCTAGTTTGCTTCCTTTAGTGTATCAACATAGCTTTGTATGTTTTTAATCTCTCTATACAGAGAGAGATCTTTATCTTTATATATCTCTAACCTTTCTACACTGAAAAATGTTTTGAACTCATATTCTTTAAAAAATACTTCTGAACAGATGTGTGTTCTAGCACTTTTCTTGAACCAGCTGAAATCAAGGCAGGTGATATCCAACAGTCCATTTTTACCTGCGGCATTGGCACCTGTTCCTTATACATGTCATGTTATGACATGGAAATGCAATTTATGAACTCTGTGTTCCTCTCTTTAAAATATGCTACTACAGCTAGCACTAAGTTGCTCTTAACAAAGAAAAATTGCAAGAAAGCAAGGATGCAATCAGTTTGTGCTAAGATTGCTTCCTACAAAATATCTACAAAGTTCATGAAGAAGTGAGAAGGTGGAATTTGTCTTCTAAATAAAAATTGTCCAAGCTGATAAAGTAGGTTCAAAGTACAAGGCGGTCAGATGGGTCCAGGCTAGAACACTAGGATTATAAAAGAGATGTAACTGGGGCAAAAGCCAAACACTTAATTCAGGTCAACTGTTCTTTCCTGCAAACATCTCTTTTCCTTCTGCTGTTGTTTTATGGACTTTGAAACAGAGTTTAGAAAAGTTATTTTTGGACTGTAACATCTGGAAGTTGTATTTAAACAAAATGACATTCTGAAAGTCTGCTTTTACATGAATACCACAATAATTCCAACTCACCTCCATAGCCTGAATTATAGCGTGCCATAGTCAGGGAGGAGGATCCATCAGTTAGCTCCAGATGAGAAACATCCTGTGCTGCCTGCACCTCCTTGGAATGATAGGATCATCCTTGCAGCAGCCAGCTCTCCCAAACTAGGCTAGAGAAGGCCTCCTTTTTTTCAGGAGAGGTAAGATGATGACGAACTGCAGCCTGGTTGGTAATTTTGAATGGGTTGTTGATTCTGCAAAGATCATTGGCAACATAATTTAATTTATGCATTTTAGATCATGTTTGTCATCAAGAAGAAGATCCAGTTTCCACAGATCTCACCCGTGTGCAGAGTATTGAACTTGTCTTGCCTCCTCATGCCAATCATCAAGGAAATACATTTGGTGGTCAAATTATGGCTTGGATGGAGACAGTGGCTGCTATTTCACCCAGGTACTATTATTGTTGTTGTTGTTGTTCAGCATTCATCACTGTTACATATTACTGGACAGGTCTAGTGAGGAATGTAAGATATTTATTTTTCTCTACTCCTTTAATGTCATCTAATCACGCAGAGAATTCCATCATCCCCCTGTTGCTTGGTACATGTATCTCTCTTTCTCAGTGTGTGTGAGACATGCATTTCTATTAGAATTCCCTTCACACACCAGTAGACCTGATTCATGGCCAGGATGCTGGATCTGTCATTCCCATTTATTATTCATGTAGCTCTGATTTGTAACCTGACGTTATACCAGTAGTAACTGGTTTTGCTTTCTTGCTGGATAAACAGCTCATTTTATTAAAATTGCAAATCTGCCACAGGTTTTACACAGTCATGACCCTGAGCGAGCAGCATTTATGTGTAAGCATACCCACTCTTTGTCAGTATCTAATGGCTCCAAAATAATCCTCTCATAAATCAAGCCCAACAAAATGGGGACGGGAGTGTGGGTGAGTTCAAGAAAATAACACATGAAACTGCAAATATTTCCTTTTCTCCCATAAAAGTGATGAATATAATCTCCAGGTTAAAATTACCAAAATATAGTTGAAACAGTGTTTAAACCATGACAGAGACCTATCTTTTCTGCTTGACAAGTAGCTGACCTTGCTATGAAGCTTTTGTAAAACAACTCACAATTAGATTTGACCTTTGAAGGTACCAGTTAGAGTTGCTATGGCCACAGGCTTGCAAGGAATGAAAATGAGGTTTGCAAAAGAAAAAGAAAAAGAAAGAAAAGAAAGGAAGCAAAATAAAATAAAAAAGCAGTGCACAAAAGACAAATGGAAGATTTTGAGAGTTTCCCCCCTCAAATTTGTATTTTCTTCAAAACCTTGTAATGCTAATAAAGAAGCATCAGTCCTAGCATCCACAGAAACCTACTAGCATGGGATTTCTTCTTTCAGATACACAATAACATTTATGAAAGTATGTAAGGCTTAACATTTCTATTAAATTGTATTTATTTTAAAAGCTAACCATAGTAGTGTAGAAGGGCTGAAAACTTCATCTGCCTCCTCCCTTTCTTGACATTAATCTCCTTGTATCTTTATTGTGAGTATTGCAAATGAGATATTTAGCAATTTAAATAGGAGGAGCAAATTATTCCTAATGAAAAACCAAAGTAATTTGAATGCATTATAAAGATGCACAATTCAATTAATTAGAAACAGATAATTGTGCACACTTAACAATTCTGGTACATCATAAAGGGTAATTGAGTTAAGGACTAAGGATAAAGAATGCTCCAAAACACTATCATCTCTTAACTAAAAAAAGATGAGAAAGAAATTTTAGGTCTGCAATACCAGAGTAAAAATACTTAGCTCTCAGGAGAAGTTTGCAAAATCTTTTTACTATTAAAATAAATCTACAGAAGCAATGAGAACCAGTGTGGTGTAGTGAATAGAGCAATGAAATAGGATTCAGCAGCTGTGGGTTCAAATCCCTACTTGGGCCTGAAAATTCATTAGGGGTGGGGTGGGGTGGGGGTGGCACTGATAAAACCAATCCTTAAGTATCTCACATATCCTAAAATCTCTGTTAGGGTTGCTATAATTCTGGTGTGACTTGATGACATGTAACATAATGACAGAAGGATGTAGATTTTTTCTTCTTCAAATAAAGGCATATACTTTATGTCTGTTTTTAAGAATAAAGAGCTTGTGACTTAATTATGTGATTATGCAGATGCCATTAACCTCCTGGTTGGTATAATTTCCCCTGCATTCTGTCATGGGACAAAAGATCCATCTTATTTCAAGGAGCTCAGCCAAAGACTATTGAGGTTATTATACAAAAAAAACACACAAAAAGCTTGGTTCGTGTACAAAGAGAACACCATGGATTATTCATAGTGGCATTCCATGCAGAGTCTGACCATATATGTGATATAATATAAAGAGAAAAATATAAATATAAAGAAAATGCCAGTGTCAGTCCTCTACTCCAATCCCAGTTCCAGTGTGCAGATTTTGGATGTAACTACAATTAACTGTCTTCCTAAATTAATAAGGCACAGAGGCACCGTCAAAATTTCCTTCATCTTACTACGTACCTGACTATTTAGGTAAATAACCACAAGAGTAAATGTTTTCTTTTATAATCTTCAGTGATTTCCCTGCTTCCTCACTCACCGAACTTTAGTTGTCTCTATGTCTGTGTATTTACTCCTTCACTCAGGCCATTATAACACTGTCCATATTGCCAGCCACCAGAAATTGAACTCCACATCACTCAGTTAGAATTAATTTAATAAGATTATTAAAATAAGTGTCCAAAGGATGTTATTTTCTCCTAGGCTTTAAATTCATTCAGCACAGTTCTTAATTCTTGGTTTCCCTTCTCTTCCCATCAAACTCCCAGCGCTTTTATTTTTAAAGCTACCACCCCGCAATCCTTCTGGCCAACAGAACTCCTCCAAATCCTAACCAACCCTCAGGTCCTCTAATTTATTCCAGCCAATCACAGCTATTCTGTCCAACAGCCCACGCTCCTACCTCTCTCCCTCCCATCACATATTTACCTAACCAATGAATTCCAAAACCTTACGTGTGCCATTACCTTATAAATAATACATTTAAACATAACTGAGCATCACAGGGAGGTACTATATGAGCCTTGTAGCCTGACATAGTTGTTCTCTCTTCCACTGGAAAGAGTAAAGGAATTATTGCAAAATCATCATCATCACCTTAGAACTGCAGAGTTGGAAGGGACCCTATGTATCATCAAGTCCAGTTCCCTGCCAGGGATGAATAGTGGAGAGTCAGACTCCCAACCTCTGGCTTCGTGGCCAGAGAGCTAAACCACTGAGTTATACAGCAGAATAAAATAAAAGAAACAAGAAATGAAAAAGTTTAAAATTTTTTAAAAAGCAACACTCACGTATCTTCAGTCCTAGCTGGCACAAGGCTATTCCCTCACACACACCCCATTCCTATTTAATTATGTTTTGTAAATTAAACGGGCATTACACCCATGTTGTTTCTCCATCAATGAGTGAAATGTTTTCAGCCTGTAAAAACAGAAAATATTAATATTTTCTTCAAACAAGACTCTTAGTGATTGTGTATGGTCTTGCAAAGGTATAACATCTGGGAAGGCTTCCATTCTTTGCTCATTTTGTACATTTACCAGTGACAGTCCAAAGGCAGCGGGAAAGCTGTTTCCACCATCACCAAGTCATAACAATGTATGGTCAACATCTCTAGAAGATGCCTGTGTCTCAGTCTTTAGGAAGTTCTCATGAACCCTTTATAAATATGCCTCATCAAATTATTAGGAAAGTAATATTGACAAATTCTAGTTTAAAATAGAATGTATAGAACAAGATGATGTTTTATGTAATGAAGGAATAGGGGCTGTCTTCTGTTGTTACTGTGCAGATGTCAATGCGAAAACTCTTCACTTCAGCTTCCTGTCAGAGATGCTGTCATGAGTCCTAAATTGTTGTTAAAACCAGAATTAGCTTTACATTTGGGATTTCTATTTTGTATAGAGGATGTTTATTTTATAGGAATACTGCAGAGACAAATTTATATGAACAATAACAACAGCAAAAGAGAATTCATGATGGTAATTTATTTTATTTTCCCTTTTCCTCTTTCAATTCAGTCGCCTGTGTGGTCTGCATCCTACTTTGAAATCCGTAGATATGTTCAAATTCCGGGGACCTTCAACTGTTGGTGACCGCCTAGTTTTCAATGCTATAGTTAACAATACTTTTGAGAAAAGGTGAACATCTCTTCTCTGATATATATCCAACTTTGTGCTGTACTGTTCAAAATGTTTGGATTTCAGAATTTTATTCTTCTAAGATTGCAGTTAGAATGTAAAGAACACAGTATATTTTAAAATGAGTGTACTGTTAAACATTCAGTTTTCAAATCAGATGTATCCCTATTTTATGGCACAACAGAAGTATAGATTGTAGTCACCTAGTAGATTTATGGTAGGTGTGCGATACAAGAAGTAACATTCAGAATATATTTGGTCTGAGATCCTGAGACACATTTGATGCATTGCATTCTATATAACAGAAAACAGCAGGATTTCTAGATCAGCGTACATTGTACAAATTATATTTTGATTGGCATTTCTGGCGGTATAGAAGTCCAATAAATAAATAAATAAATAAATAAATATTTTATGGCATAGCAGGAGTATAGATTGTAGTCACCTAGTAGATTTATGGTAGGTGTGCGATACAAGAAGTAACATTCAGAATATATTTGGTCTGAGATCCTGAGACACATTTGATGCATTGCATTCTATATAACAGAAAACAGCAGGATTTCTAGATCAGCGTACATTGTACAAATTATATTTTGATTGGCATTTCTGTTGTGTCTTTATGTCTGTTCATCTTACCATCACCACTAGTATTTTGCTTGTAACCACATACACTAATTTTAGAATCATTAACACTACGATAGAGGTAGCTGTGATTAGATATTTCAGGAAGGATTTAATGATGGCTATTGGAAGGTTAAAAGAACTGCAGTGTCCAGTGGTGGGAAGAAACCATCTTGTGCTGATCCTCAGGCAGCAGAGAGGTCTGCAGGAAAGAGTGGATGGGAAGAAAGTTCTGGAAGTTCTTTCAGTGCCCCATGGGATTTAGTCCTTGGGTACATTCTTCAACATTATGTATTGTACAGTCTGAAGAACAAAAACCAGCCCTAATTTCTGCTAACCTTTAGGAAATCTGCACATTTTGTTTTTCTTTTTCTTTAATTTTACTTTGTGTCTCATGAGCATAGAAAATGGGGAAAAGCTATGTCGATCACTCGTGCCATCTCTCCAGGGGAGATTTTAGCTTTCTGGGAACTCTGGCAAATAAGTCGGAGAATTCGCTAGGCTTTGCCTGTGTACTTTTACACCTACTTAATGAAAAATAATTTGAACCTTCTGGTTGAAATCCAGTGGTAAAAAAACAACTAATTTTAGTGTTTTCCATGTTTTCGTGTTTTGACCTTTTAATTTTGTTTTAATTCATATATTGTTTAATTTGTCTTTTAATATTTAACTTATTTTGTTTTTGTGTGAATTTTAATGCTGTGAGCTTCCTTGGGTCCCTCACTGGGAGAAATGCGGCATACAGATAAAACTAATAATAATAACTAGAGTGGGCCATTGAATCAGTGGGGACTTAGTAAGTGAACTCCTCTGTAATTTATATTGATTCAGTTGGGTTACTCTAGTTGCAGTTTACTACCGGATTTCAACCTGTATTTTTAAAAATCTCAGAAGGAACTGAAATTTGCACCTAATTCTGTCTTTTGTATGCATTTAGAATATTTGCTTGGTACAATTGTGGGTTTAAGGTCTGTCTGGATTCATGCAAAGTGGCCTTTCCCCATAGTCGGAGGAAGTGCAAGACTGTGTCCTCCAATTGTAAATGATCCATTTGGTTCGGCAATTTATTTGTTAGAAAAATCAATGTGAGGTCTTATGACTTTCTAGACTCAGGTTAAATCACATTCCATAATGCTGAACACAATTTTTCAAAAGATGTGTTATATATGTATTAAAAAGTAATAGTATTAAAATTACAGACTTACAATGTACCCCTAAACAGATTTACACTTAAACAACTCCCACCAAATTTATGCTGACTTCCTGCCAATTAGATGTACAAGATTTCCGCCACAATTATTTGTTTCCATGTTTTTCCAGAGCCTTATAGTTTCTCTATATGTCCATGTTCTATCTATATCAGAGGTCCCCACCCCACCCCCGTTCGCGGTCCGATGCTGATCCATGGCCTGAGCCGGACCAGGCCACAGAGACAGACCTCTGCCTGTATGAGCGCCCCCCGCCCCTTTGAGCATGTGTGTGAGAGACAGCGCTCCTTCGCACATGCTCAGTGGGTTGCCCCACCTTCCTCAGCTGGTCTGCAGGGCTAAAAAGGTTGGGAACCACTGTTCTATATGACTGTGCCCAAAACCACACTGCATAGTCAAATGTATGCCCAAAAATCCAAGTGGGGACTCATTAGTTGTCAGTAGGAGCTACTGTGCTTTATGCTATTTGCCTTTTGCAGGAATAACTATGGAGTTGGATTTTGGCCTGTACTGTACCTTCTGGGTGTATAAACCTGCAGCCTACACACTACACTTCTTTTGTCTGAGAAAGTGGATCATAATCCATGAAAACTCACATTGAAATGAATCTGCTAGTCTTCAAGATGTCTTCATTCTCCCTCTATCTCTCTATAGTGTACAGTATATGTGTGTTCTGGTAATAAACAGTGAAAGTTGTCCTCACTCTTTTCTTCTCTTCCACCTGCCTCAGTCTTTCTTCACAGGTCTGCTTTCCCACTATGTACTTATTATTCTGTACTGCATATGTGACACTATGGCTATTGAATTCATTGAATGCTTTTCTTTCAGTATTGAGGTTGGTGTTCGTGTTGAGGCTTACAATTGTGAGGAATGGGGCAGAGGCCAAGCCCGACATATTAACAGTGCCTTTCTCATCTTCAATATTATAAATAATCATGGTGAGCTTTACACTGTCCCCAGAGTGAGAGCCACAACAAAGGTGAGTTTTCTTTCAAAACTAGAGGGGCATAGTTGTACATTGAGGCAAACTAAACAATACTGTCACCCATCAATTGTATAACTACTGGAAAAGAGACTAACACAGGAAGTGAAAATTTTAGCAACCCATTCTTGATTTTCTTCCTACCTGAGGCAGTGGTTTTAAAATATTTTGGATCCAATTTTTATCTCGAAGATGATTATTTAAATCATGTCCAACAAGGTCTGAACGAACAAGTCATTTCTAGCTGAAATGTCCTGTGACAGCTATGGGATCCCAGCACAAGTTATGCTTTTCAAACAGCTTTGTAAATATACCCAATTTATTTAATGGCTTAGATGCATCCAATATTATTATTGCTGTCATCAAAGTTTGCATTATAGTGTTCAACAATTGGACACATCTGTCAGTTATTCTGCAAATGAGATATATTAATCTAAAAAGGTTTAATTTAAATAAAGTTGTCAGAAAAAGAGGGCAGAAATGATAGCTAATCTTTTTTCTTTGCTCCCAATGAAGGATGGTTTAAGGAGATACGATGGAGCCATTATGCGCAAGAAGATTCGATTAGCCAGGTAGAAATAATCCTCAAAGACAAGAGATGTTTACAATTCCACATTATTTCTCAGCTTTTGAGTTTGGTTTGTGAACCTTCAGCAGAAAACATTTAGCACATGAGAACATTTAGCCCTCTTGGACTGCAAGCAGAATCAGTACATTGATTTAGCCAGTGCAGAAACCTACTACATGTGGAATTAGAATTGCTAGGAAAGGGGTTTGGGGTTGTCTCTGGACTTCGTAGCAGAACTTTCCATTTCCAAATATTTATGCTCTGTGTTGTCTCCATTTTTATCAACTTTACTAAAGAAATATTGTAAGAAAAAATGTTTGATTTAGGGTTACCACCAGATCCTTGCGTAAATATGAATGTTTTACTCCATAACACTGCAGCAAGGAGCAGTTGTTATATTACTCAGCTTTTTCCTTCCTCCAAACCCTTGTCAATGCCTCCCAATAACTGCTGTGACCATTAGGATTCTTCTTTTGCTTCACAGTGGATGGGGCAGAAATGTAACAAAAGGTTTGGTAGGGGAAAAGGTACAACGCCAAAGTCCTGCCTCATTGCCTTATGACGTAATGCTTATCTATCAGTACATCTCACAGGACAACAGGACTTCTGACTAAATACACATAAAGTTGCATAAAAATGTTTGAGATAATGCATTACATGAATTGCATTTATAGCACCTATGTATGCATATACTGTGTTTCCCTGAAAATAAGACAGGGTCTTGTATTAATTTTTGCTCCAAAAAAGGCCTTAGGGCTTATTTTCAGGGGATGTTTTATTTTTTTCCATGTACAACAATCTATATTTATTAAAATACAGTCATGTCATCTTCTGGTTGCTGCACAATGGTGCACAGTGGTGAATGGCAGGGTTACACTTAACTGGGGCATATTTTGGGGGAAAGGCTTATATTATGAGCACCCTGAAAGATCATACTGGGGCTTATTTTCAGGTTAGGTCTTATTTTCGGGAAAACCAGGTAGTTTGTATGTGCAAATGAGCCAATCAACAGAGAAGTCAAGGAGGAAACATACGGGCTCGGGGTGATGTGATTTTAGGCAAGGATAGGAATTATTGCATGCAAGACTTGGGGCCCATATCGCAAAGCAGGCATGGCTAGCCCACTGCTGGCACATGGCCTCCAACTTGATTGCCTAGAACACCTCCCCCCAAACTCATAGAAACATTTCCCCAAACTTACGTGGAACAGGCTGAATGTCACACACATTGGTCATTTATATGCAAACAAATTTTTTTTTATGTCCAAGAGTTTCCTTAGTTTACTTTTGGTCTTTTTCAACATAAAATCAATTGCAGAAAACACATTTTCTCGAGGAAGGAAGGCAATTACACAGCTGACTTCTGGGACCAAAGCAACCAGGTAATATTTACATTCTTTTCAAGGATACAGACATAATCTGCACTTGAATATTTATAGTATGCTCTCCAGATTTCTAAAACCTAGTATAAAATGTTAAGTTACACCCAACAATAGTTTTCTGCTGGGGAACAGACTCTGCTGGTGAACTGAAATCCTGCACATACCCTACATTTGCTCTAGCTAGTTGATGATCCTCTGGTGAAGATCTCAGAAATATACAAGGGTATGTAGAATGCAGGAGGGGACTGCAACAGTCATATCATTAGGTTACTGTGGGTTTTTTCCCTAAGTCCCCCCTCATTTCTACACACAAACCACTGTTTCTACATTGTTCATTTATGTGCAGAGATTTTGTTTAGTTCGTCACTGAAACATAGATGCATTTGGTTTTAATCAGCATGTGTTTGATCACTGAGGGGTGTAGTCAATCCTCTTATTGTTGAAATAGCTTAATTCTCTTTATATAGAGAAAATAATGTATATATTGGAACTCTGATTTACTGCACTTTAACTCTTACATTTTCCTTTGTTGGTTATTCTTTTGATTTACATTTCAGGCAAACATAATAAAAAGCAATGTTACAGCACTGACCATACTCACAGAAAAGCCTGGATGGGAAATAACCAACACTCTAAACCGTGTAGGTATTGAGTGTGCAAGAGTTGCACGTATCCCCCCCCAAAAAAAACACAAAAGGAAATCAAAAGCCACCTGCTTATATACCACCCCATAGCACTTCAAGCACTCTCTGGGTGGTTTACAGGTTAATTATGCAGGCTACACATTGCCCCCCCCCCGCAAGCTGGATACTCATTTTATTGACATCAGAAGGACAGAAGGCTGAGTAAACTACCTTGAGCCGACTACCTGGATTGAACCCTGGGTCATGAGCACAGTACTATGAGGCTTCTGGAATTTTATGAATAGGTACACTCCTCCATATAATTCTACAAGAATAAACGTGGGTGTGTATTTCTCTTTTACTCCACTAGCAATACAGTGCAAAATCTGCAGGAACAAAATGACATCATACAGTCACATGATATGTACTAATAATTTGACATTCAAAGCCCATCTAGCAATTCCAACAAGTTTTTAAAAGTTCTCAGGCAGTTTTTAGATTTCTGAAATATTTTTATATACAGGATGTCATTTGAGATAGACTTAATAGCAAGTAAGTACTCTGGAGTGAATAAAATCTTGCTGTACTAGCACTGGATACAAACATGCTTTCTATTTTCAGTTGTGATACATTTTCAGTAGAACCATCCTTAAAATTATCCATGCATTTATCCAAATACTTTGTTTTCTGATGTGACACATAGATATGCTGTACATTGTTTATACACTCAGTGTTGATCAATTTCATTTGACATAAATGGAAAGAACAACCTATTTGCTCAGAATATGAGAACTATTTCACCAGATTATTAAAGCGACACAAAAAGGAATCTGCATGAAATACATTCCCATCCTTGTAAACTGAATTATACAAGAAGATAAGCTCTCAATGGATACTTGCCAAAGTCTCCATTGAGAAATGCTAGTGTGGAGCATAAATGAAACAATAAAATGAATAAGTTAGTTTGCAGTATTTATATAAGACATTTTCCCCATGAAATGAATGCCTTTAATTCATAATAAAGACACATTTCTTAAATTACATAATAAATGTAATTGTTTATTTTCAACATTTTTCTATTAGCAATATGATCAAAATAGTAAATAGTATAAGAAACTAAAACCAAACTTCTGTAAATTCATAAATGGAAGTAGAAAGGATCAAAAATAGGGGGAAACAGCAGCAGTCAAGAGAAAATTATCTTAAGAATAAACACCTGAAGCCCAATAGAGAAAGGACGTTTGTCAAAAGACAACAAAGTCAGGGCCAGGAAGGCTTCCTTTGGCAGGCTGGCAGTCATGCCCACCCGCATCGTCCAGATGGCTGAGTAACACAAAGCAATAGATAATCTCAAAGGGTTCATTAGAGTCCTATGACTGGAGATGATTTTTAAGGAACATATAATTTTTTACCACTAATAGAAGTATTCCTACTACAGTCATATTCTCTCCAGCCAGGGCACAATTGCTATATGAAAATTTAGTATTTTTGTTGATGGCCGCAATCATATTAGTGTTTGTATAAGGTTTGCCTAACTTGCCGCTACTAATTGTAATTAATTGATGAGGTCCAGAGGTGTGTCTTCTTTATGTAGCTGGACACATGTGCTCCTGTACCTCGTCAGTTAGCTAAGGAAAAGTTTGGAAATCTTGCCAAAACACCAGTGGGACTCTGGTCTGTATCTACTGCATTCTATTGATACTCATGTTTCCCTTCTAGTCTATAACATTCCCCTGCTATACTCACTTCCTTTATCACTCAATTACAAAGTTATAGTAGCTAAAACTGAGCACAAAATTATACTCCGTTAAAATTAACTAAATTTGTGCTGGGAGCAATGGAATCAGTTGCAGTATTTTGTAGCCTGTGCTTTTTTAAAGGCAAGAACCCATATTTTTCTGAGAATTCCTTTTGAAAAACCAAAGAACTTTGAAATTTTGTTTATCTGAATTCCTGATTTTGTGTTTTTAAATACCTTTTTTTTCCAGATAAAAATGTACATTTTAAAAGAGACAGATGTTATTTCCATCAAAGCTGAAATGCAAGTATGGATACCTTCAAAAATAGCCTTCTTACTTTTATCAGACTTCACACTTCATGTGCACTGGGCTAAACAGTATCTGTAAGCATAATTTTATATTTTTAAAACTTCGCTGGTTTTCAGGAATTTTCTTTTTGTTGTCACAGCTATGTGTACTGTTTGTTTCTACTCCAGTAAACAAAGAAAGGATTATAGTCAGTAAGGCAGGAAAATCATACATAGGGACAGTTATGATTATAGTACAAGCCTTACATAACTTTGTTAATAAAATATATTATTGCCTCCTTTGAAAATAATAGCAGGAAACTATTTGCAACTAGAATGAGGGATATAGTGGAAAGACTTTGACACACAGCTGGCTAGGCAGAGTTTAAGAGAAGCAGGATTAGTTAAGTTAGATTTGTAATGGAACTGTGCTGAAATTTTTTCCCATGAGAATTATAACAATTCTGAAGCAATCTGATGGCAAAGACATTCCCTTTGGGGGGGGGGGAAATTAGAGAAATTCTCACAGGTAAAAAGCTCAGGATTTTTGTGCTCACCATAGCCATTAGGTGGTTGGTCTTTTTACAGTCACCTTGGTGACAGCTGGCAGCATCTTCCTCACCTTCTCACATTTCAGCAAAATGCTACTGGAAATGTCATAAGGTAACTCCTTCCACAGATCCTTTTCAGATTAGGAAATGGGAGTAACCAAGGGAGCTGCACAGGGATGAAATGTGCATGAGAAGGGAAAACAAACCCCACAAATGCAGTAATTTGGAAAGAAATTGCACATGTCAGTCACAAGTCAGATGACAAAGAACATATCCTTTAGCTGGTGGTGTTTTCGATGATGCCTCAAGTACTAAACCTCATTTGTATATTTGCCTCACCTACTTGCAGAACCTGTAGGGTCCTAGAGCGTGTGTCTGAGGAGGACAAAATATACCACATTACATCCCCATCAGTTAATGGAAATAAGCCTGATGATTTTTTAATTCTTGTATCCCAGAGAAAACCTTGCAAGATTGGGTAAGTATGGAAATGTAAAACAGGATTATTGATTACATAGCAAACATTTTTTTTAAAAAAACTCCTTAAATTGTATTAAAAAGCTGCACGGGTTGAATCCAAGTTGTGTGACTAGGTTAATTTTCTAAGAGTCTCCTTAACTCCCCTACTTCTTTGCTCCACAGCAGAGTATTAGCTTTATAGATCCTGATGAAATAGTAAGACACTTCTTATCTCTTTTGTTCCACTTTCTAGTGAACAAATTCAGCTAAAAACCCAATTAGCTAAGAAAAATCCCACAACCACCAAAACTGTGGCAAATGTTGACTTGCCCACAGAGTCTATGAACTATTTCCAAAGAGGAATCCAAACAGGAATTCACTGCTGCCCATCTTGAAGGATGTTAAGTCTAAAGACATATCCTTTGTAGAGGCAGGGAAAATTGGATGCTTCTGGGAGCTGGCTCGCATGAATGTCCTACTGGAGAAGGCATACAAGGGCAAAGAAAAGAAAAAAATAAAGCAAGAGTGGGATACAAACAATGTCTTTACTTTTTCTCCTAATACTTCCACTCCTCAAAAATGGCATGTCTCCACTTTTCTTCCCACGTAGCTTCCATTTACTATAACACTTCCTAGGCAAAGAAATGTAGCAACCGTCTCTAACTCAGTGTACAATTAAGGGATTAAATTAAATCAAAATGAGATTTCCATTTGAACAAGCCCTCTGACTATACAAAAACACTGAACAATTTACTGTTTTATGACCAACATAAAGCTTAAATTTTTGTTAAAGGGCGCTAATATTATACTTACTAAATCTAGAGAACCTTACAGAATAGCAGTGACGCCAGTAGCCTTGACAGCTGTTCCACCTTCTAACCAGAATGATTACGGAAGTAAAATCCATTGTACAGGATTCATGGTCTATGGCAACAGCAGTTCATCTTTGGTAAGCAGTTTTATAATGAAACACAATTATTTCTTATGCTTTGTCTCTCTTTCTGTTCCTCTTAAAGTGATATGCAAAGAAAACCTTGATTTATGACAACTGCGTGTAAAATTATACCCGCGTCCAGCCCTTTAAAATAATGCTGTATCTCAGTGATCAGCTTTTAAGGAAATGGGATGGAGTGGAAGACTAGTTTTAATTCCTGCTGGTTTTCACAAAAAAACTGATCCACTTTTTGTAAATGGCTTCATACTGTACATGTTCTATTGGATAGGAGAAGACAGCACTATCAACCATCTCACCATGAGTCACATTTTATCTAGTACTGTAATTAGTTATTATCCAGTCATGTGCTATTTGGGTGTTGAAATATTAAAATATTTCCCGCAAGAATCCATCAGATCTCAGAGCTATGCCACATCATTACCTAGGTGCCTGAAGCACTAGCCTGAGATTTTCCCTCAGTGTGCCAGACTGGTACAGAGGCTGAAATCCAGTACTAAGTCACAACTAGAGTAGGCCCATTTGAATCAATTACACTTACAGAGAAGTTGCCTCACCAAATCCCCACTGATTCAGTGTGTGTACTCTAGTAATGACTTATTCCTGGATTTCAGCAAGCAGGCGATAGCACCGTGCAAGACTCTGACAAGCCAGATAAAATACAGTAATATGTGAGGAAGATATTCAGTATAAGGCAGACAGCAGTGATTTAAATGCTCGTTATTTCAGGAAAAGACTCAAACCAACTTTTATCTGTTTCAAAGGTATCTTACTTCATCCAAAGTGTGCCTCCTTTTACTACAAATCTTGCTCACTTATTAAAATCAACTGAAGAAACAGCTTCTGAGTGCATCAAGTTCTTAGAATCCAGGAGCAAGAAGATGGAACTGCAACTTTAGTAATACTTCATTTTAACATTTCAAAATGACCAACAGTTCTTTAATACTAATGTAACTAACCTGGTGAATCCACTGCAGACTTATTTTTATCATCTGAATCTGCTCAATATTGTTAAAGTGGGCCACATCATCCAAGCCTCTTTTGAATCCTGGTTGTTTAGTCTTTAAAATGTCTTCAAGTTCTTTTAGAGCTCTCAGACAGCTTATTATGTCTTAACATAATGGAAGTGTTTAGGTTTTTTTAAAAAAAGATCACTTGATATAAGTACACATTTCTTTTATAAAGAAAGTGCCTGTTTTGTGGTCCATTTCAGCAGCCAAAAGTATGTCTGTAAGAACAGAATATGTACAGGGCTGCAGGTATTCCACGATTTTAGAACTGTATTGTCCATACTGTACATGGTAGATGATATATAGCAGAGATTCCAGTATATCAAGATTGCCTCCTTTCCAAAATGATTTCTAGTACCTGTTGCTGGAAAAATACTGCATACTGGCAATAATGGCTTGCCCAAACTCATATGAATTTGCCCAGACACTTAGATCAGTCAGTGGGGTAAACCTCATGTGTCCAATAGTAAAAGAGGAACAAGAGACGGGCTGCTTGCTGGTGACACCTCTCTGTGGAATGGCCTATCCCCAAAATACATGCTTGGCTACCTCTTCTTAAACTGATTTGGAGTAGGTCTGGGGGTCAAAACACGTCTACTAGGCTCCCACTTTCACCCTCCCTCAAGTTGGGCCAATATGGCCTATGGGCGCTTTCACAACTACTGGCAGGGAGCATCTGAGTTCAGTTTTCCCCAGAGGCACCCTCCCATTGGATTGCACTTTTTTATAAGCACATCTGTGTTTATAAATGTCTTAGAATCCAGTTTTTTAAATGGAGAATTTAGATTTACACTGGCAAACTGTTTTTAAAAATACAGGCCAAAATCTCGTAGCATGAATTACACACCCTATCAAAGTGATGACATCAGTTGCAGGGAAGACTGCTGCTCAATAAAGAATTTCCATCTCCCATTCTGGAGCTCACCCACAACTCAAACTCATTGTGGTCAAGATGGGCGTGCCCTGGGACTGAAGGAGAAGTGATTTAATTACCATCAGTCTCTCTATGCTGGCGAAGGCATCAATTCTAAAACAGGATTTTGGGGATTTAATCCTGTAAATAAGACATTTCAGTAGCAATAACAAACCCATAGTACAAATGTCTATGTATAGGTTTGTTCTAATATTATGCACCCTACTTTTCCTCTTACATATCTGGCAGGCCTTTTTGGTGAACCTTTACACTTTACAGTATTTTATAGTCCTGTTGAAATATAAAAAGCAAGACAAACAAGGACCATAGAGGAAGTTGCAGGTGCATTTTGTATCTCAGCCAATGATTCTGCTTAGCTGCTTGTATTCTAAATATTAATGTACAGTCACTGAGTCCATCTTTAGTTTTATGGTACTCTTTAACCTGAAACCATGCACATGCTAAATTTAAGACATTTGTTATTATAAATCATAGCCCATAATAGGGACAAAATATATTAATTCAAAATGATTTTAGAATTGTTAAAATAGTTCTTTGTTTTAAACCTGTTCATTCTGTTTTTACAGAGAGTTAAATAGAGTTTTCAAATTGACCTCATCATTGGACATGTTTGTTACAAAATAGAAACAGATATGAGCTGAGGTCAATTTAAGCTTTCTCCTGTTTTAAAATTCAGAAAACAATCCACGTTATTTTTTGTTTTGAAGATTACATTTTTGCTATTCAACATCTGGGAAAAGCAATATAACAATTTAAATAAATCTAACACAAAACAGTGATGCAGTTTTCCTTCCTGTGCAATTCTTCCATTAAATCTTGGGTCGTTTGGAAAGAATGTGCCAGTATAGACTACTCTGATGTCAGTAGTCCTTATTTTGTATTTTGCTGCAGCCAGAAAAAGAACACTTTGATCTCACAACAGTAGTTGGAATTTCTTGCCGATAGCTTCCAGTGCTCTTTTTACCTTTTTTCAGACTGTTTCCAGGACACTGCAAATGACACCGACTAACACAGTCTGCTAAAAGGTTTTTTCATACATTGTCACCAATGGTACTAGGTTACCCTATGCTATCCCTCCTATTTCTACAGTGTATTAGTATTATTATTTGTGGTCAGAAGTGAATAGTTTATGAATCCTAGAACATATAAAAATTAGAGAAAACTTGTGACAGTATTTCTAGAGGTGTAAAGGAAATCAGAAAAGACCCAAAAATCCGTCTCTCATACAACATGTGTACATAATCTAGTAAACCAGAGTATACTGAAATAAGGTTTTAATGAAATTGAACATTAAACAATTATACACAATTGATGAGAAGAACCAAGGGTGACAGCAGCATGTTCCTTCAAAGCCATTATACTGAACCCGCATACTGTGAGCTTGTCTTCTGCATTAACTGACAAAAGTCTCTCTAGCCTCATCTGGAAGATGGCCCCTGGAAGCATCTGTGTAGAAAGCAATGCTACAGCCCTTCCCTTTTCCCAAGCTGTGGTGTATATCTTGCTAACTATCAGCCCTTCTTTTCTGCCACTCTTGTTCCGAAAAGAAGAAAAAACTGTTATTGCTGAGAAAGCTTCTTCCAGAAACAACAGCAGCAATTCAGTGAATCATTAGAAATAGAAAATAGGTTTTGCAACCTGTAGCAATACAGTTTCTAAGAATGGTAATTTAAATAGTAAAATTGTTATCATCCAGCTATCGTAGTAAGAGATGTAAGCCAATGCAAATGAGACTGCAAACTATAACACCACAATACTGTATATATATGAAAAAATTGAAAAACAATGTATATTGTTTATTACATTGATTAATGGAGGTGGCATATCAATCAAGCCATTGATAATAATTTCCTTTGTACTATATTTGCCATGTTGAAAGGCCAGTAACTTTCAAACTTGCTGGTTGAATACTCATCTACATATGTAAGTATTCTTGGTTTGGCTGCCTTGGTCCTATTTGTGTGGTGTGGACTTGCAAGAATAACAGTCATGGCAAAAGAAGACCCAGTCTGAGGTTTCACTTGTTAACACATTGCATTTATTTATTTTAAAAAGAGCTGATTTAGTAAGTAACACCATTTTATATATGTGTACATCATCATGCAACATTAGAACATGTTGCTGAGACAGGCTTTTTGGTAAGCCAGTAATTGTATAGAAAAGCTTTCTAGTGAGATCCTGCCAAACAGCCACTTATTGCTACGTGTCTTCCTGCAATTCATTTTCCATTAAGGTTAGAGTATGATTACCTGATCATCACCTAGGTGAAGAGATAAAAGGTAAGCTATGGCATTTTTGGTACTGCAGGTTAGTACTATATTTTTTCCACCAAATGTTGAAAATTATTGTTATAAAGGACACCAGAAAGGTATTATCAAAAGTTAACAACCTTAAGTGTTTTTGGTTTTGATTTTTTTTGTTCAGAGCTCACTGGAATTTCTTGATAATCTGCACTCATTCCTTTGAACCATCGGCCAACAGTTACTACTCGATCTGTGAAAGAAAAGAAAATTATAGAAGTTCTTTTGTCCCAGATAAAAATCTAAACAGTGAGGAATTACACCACATAATCCAGCAATTAAATTTACTGTGTTCTCAGATGGGCATTTGGTCTGTTTTGGGGACAGGTTGGCTCACCCCCTTTCCTGGCAATCACATGGCATATACGGCATCACATATGGCCCTGATCAATGCCTACTTGCACCTTTTTGAGATCCCTGCCAAGAGCTACTGCTTTTTTCTTTGTTTGTTTGTGCAGGTAGGATCGCTCTGCTTTAGTTCAACTCCCGCATGTGTGATCAGTGAACTGAACCAAAATGGCTACCTCGCTGTTCCTCTGACTAAGTCATTGAACAATCTTGAGAAAGCTTCTTTGTTACTCAGTTGCTGAAGGAGGGAAAGGAAGACTTGCATTTCTTTGTAACTGTTGCTAATGCATCAACAATACCCAAAATTAACTGCTTAGCATGATTTAGTCCAGCTATTCTCAACCTTTTTTTGGTCACAGACACAGTCATATACACATGAAAGAAATATAGGCCAAATCAGGATTGTATATTGTATAACAAACCATATAATAATTGTGTGTGAATAATTGTCTCCAATTGTCAGCGGCTCCATTCAAATGTGCCAGCGCCCCTGTTGAGAATGGCTGATCTAGGTGTATATTGTATAACAAACCATATAATAATTGTGTGTGAATAATTGTCTCCAATTGTCAGCGGCTCCATTCAAATGTGCCAGCGCCCCTGTTGAGAATGGCTGATCTAGGCCAGGGTATTTGTGTTGTCAAAATTTCACTCATGATTTGATAGTAAAATCAAGAATTATCATAATTTAACTGCTTAGCATGATTTAGTCCAGCTATTCTCAACCTTTTTTTGGTCACAGACACAGTCATATACACATGAAAGAAATATAGGCCAAATCAGGATTGTATATTGTATAACAAACCATATAATAACTGTGTGTGAATAATTGTTTCCAATTGTCAGCGGCTCCCTTCAAATGTGCCAGGGCCCCTGTTGAGAATGGCTGATCTAGACCAGGGTATTTGTGTTGTCAAAATTTCACTCATGATTTGATAGTAAAATCAAGAAAAACATTATCATAATACCACATACAGCCAAAACCTGGACTCTTTTCATAGAAATGTATCTAACTGAATCTCCAACAAAATACTATGAATTAGAACTTGAGGCCTGGATACAACGGTGTGCGTCGACTGGATCCCAATACTTCACCAAAAGCAGCAATTTTGCACCAACATAGAGCACTCTGTGCACCCTAGAAACCTGCTCCAGAGAGCTGAGAATCCCTCTAAGGCATGGCTCTTGATGCTGGAGAGAGCTACAGGGGACAAGAAGGAAGTCCCATTTGCATTGGTATTGAACACCAAAGCACACCATGTGATCTTGGCCTAAGTTAAAAGAGAGCTGGTAGCAAATTTCAAGTCAGTATTTCTACAGCTAAGGCATGGCTCTTGATGCTGGAGAGAGCTACAGGGGACAAGAAGGAAGTCCCATTTGCATTGGTATTGAACACCAAAGCACACCATGTGATCTTCACCTATTTCAAATTTCAAGCAAATTTCAAGGCAGTATTTCTATACAGCTAATAGTCCTGAAGTCTGCCACTAGCAAAAACAGCAATATACAATTTGCACAAGATATAGTCTCCAACTGCAATACACAACAGTAGCTGCACTTGGGCCATCTGTATATTTAATATCTCATGCCCAATAAGTCACCTATGTAAAAAAGTGTAATATCACCAAGTACTACATAAGAATGTCAATGAGGCAAATCAAGGATTGCTTAATTGGGTTTATAATTCACATGTACTTGATAAAGTTTGTTTATTAAAGAATGGTTGTTATGTACATAACTAGACAAGTACTAGAATCTCTCACCTGAATTTTGATTTTCAGGACAATCTTTTTTAAAGTGCTCCACAGAACCACAAATCCTACAAGAACCTCCTATAAAAGAGTAAAATGTAGAATTAATGCATTTGGAATACACAAATTCTACTCATGTACATCTGATGTTAAACAAGTATTCTTGTTTGCAGCTTGGAGTGGTTTTTTTTTAAAAAAATACTATCAAATGGGAATTTCATAACTTAACACAAGCTTTGTAAGATTAAGGTTTTTTGTTGCTTTTGCTATAGCAGACTAATAGATTTACTGTCATACATTTTCATGGCCTACAGTCTGTGTCAGATACTGAATATGTTGGCAGCTGTGTTTTTTACACGCACAGAGAGAGAGAGAGAGAAAGAGAGAGAGACACAGAGAGAGATACAGAGTGAAAATTGTGCGTGATCATGACAGGACAAGATAATTTCCAATTATGGTATAAAACTTGTGTGGAGACCATTACAAACAATGTTGAGCAGTACATATATATTTCTGCACCTGTGCATTCTTAAAATTCAATATAAATGTTCTGAAAGGCTTTTATAGTGATCCCACTGAAATGTCAGGAATTTTGTGGGAAATGGTGCCTACTAAGATTAAGAAAGCATCTAAAGATGAGGCAAAATGTCACGTGATATAAATAGCACAGCATGCTCCTTTGCGATTCGTGACCTGAGAAAAAAGTGTTCCCAAATAAATCAATTAGGAAATTGTTTTTAAAAAATCATAGTATTTCTAATGAACTGTTGTACTTACCATCAGCATAGAGTCCTTTAGGGTTATCTGGACATGACCTTGAGAGATGTCCCATCTCACCACAAATAAAGCATTTTGCATATGGAAATTCTCCTGAAAGTATGGAGCAAATGGAATATTCACATTAGGATAGAAAGAGCCACATGAAAATTCCATGAAATGCTGCAATATCCAGCACTGTTGTAATCTAAAATGCTTTAATATTTAATACCCAAGAACAGTTAGAATATGTTAAGAAAAATGAAACCCTTTTTGCCAAGTACTCCCTACAAAGCATTGTAGTTACTACACATACCAACAGCTGGGTCTATTTTTGCTTTGCATTTGCTGATGTCATGTTCTGTAGAGCCACAACGGTAACAAATTCCAGTTCCCATATCCTGGCTTTTAAGTACAGCTGGACAGTCTGCAACCCCATGTCCTGGCCTTCTGCAGTGGAAGCATACCTTTAGAAATACAAAGAGAATTATGAAATGAGCAGAGGGAGAGAAGAATTCAACACAATATTTCTACTTTAATTTTACTCACAAATTAACTATGCTGAATACTGTATTCAGAATGTAGTATCAGTGATTTAGGACCAGTGATTACTCATTACATTTATCCCCGCCACTGAACTCATGGTTCCCTTTCTCCATTTTCTCCTAGCAATAACCCTCTAAGGTATGTCAGAATTAGAATGAGAGTGACTGTCCTAGTGAGATATATGACTCAGCAGTGACATGAACACAGATTTCTGAAGTTCCTGTCTGGTGTTCTAACCACTGTACCACACGACAAATATTATTTGCATGTACTGATAACATATGCCAATCCTTAGAATCTGCAAGTTGACTGAATTATCACTCCACTTTTAACACATAGGATCAGGGAAAAATATGTTGTTCAGAGTTGTGCAAATACATACTTATTCATCTTACAGTTATTAACAATGGCAGCTGCCAAGCATGGCAAAATACAAAATCTATTTATTTATTAAATTTATACCCCGCCCATCTAGACACAAGTCTACTCTGGGCACCTAACAATAAAAATAGAATAAAAACAGTATAATAAAATAGAAAGCAACAATAGTAATATGGTTCAAGATGGGAAAAAATAAAAATAATCAAGTGGTGACAGGAGGGAAAGCCTGCCTAAAGAGCCAGGTATTAAGTTGGCTCTTAAAAACATCCAGTGAGGGAGCCAGACAGATCTCTCGAGGGCAGACTGTTCCAAAGGTGGAGATCTCTCGAGGGCAGACTGTTCCAAAGGCGGAGGGCCACTGCCAAGAAGGCCCGGTTTCTTGTTCTTTCTCTCTGGGCCTCCCTTGGTGTTCGGCCCCTCTGCTGCCCTTCCTGGCTAGAACAAGTGATTCGGGTAGATCTCTTTGTTTGGAGTTCTGCAATACTGTATATAGCTATTTACCATAGGAAGGTACTGTGATGACACTGGTCATATTGCATGATGACCTTTTAAGGGATACTGATAGAGGACCCTCCCTGCTGGTGCTTCCTTGATCTCTCTGCGGCTTTTGATATTGACCACAGTATCCACCTGAACGGGCTCTCAGAGGTGAGGATCAGAGGGTTGGCATTGAGCTGGCTCTAGTCCTTCCTGGAGAGCTGTGTTCAGGGAGTCCAGCTTGGGGATGAACTGTCAATTGTGAGGTGTCCCAGAGGTCTTCAATATCCCCAATGCTGTTCAACATCTATGTTGGGGGAGGTCATCAGGAGATTTGGAGTAAGGTATCAGTACGTTGATGATACGCAACTCTTATCTCTCCCTTTTCACCTCAGCAGTGGATGCTGTCCAAATACTCAAGAAGATTCTGGAATTGGTCTTGGAATGGACCAGGGCTAAACAGGGTCAATCTGAACCAAACCCCCCCCCCACAGATTTTGCTCCTGGGGAGCTCCTCTGACAGGCTGGGGAGGGGAATTACCTCCAGATTGGATGGCGTTGTCCTTCCAGTCAAGTATTAAGTTCATAATCTGGGCATGCTTTTGGACCCAGCTCTATTGTGGGAATCCAAGATTGTGGCCATGTCAAGAGCTGCCATTAATCAGCTGAGGCGTACTGCCCAACTCTGCCCCATTTTGGACAAGGAATTTCTCAGGACTTTGGTGCATATACTGGTCATCTCCTGTATTGACTACTGTACTGCAATGCTCTCTATGTGAGTCTGACCTGACTGCAGCGGATCCAGGATGCTGCAGCCAGACTGGTGGCTGATGCGCAAGTCTGACCACATTTCCAGTCTTGGCTCACCTTAAACTGGTTACCTGTTGCATCAGATTCCGGGTTTTGATGATCACATATAAAGTCCTCATGATTTGGAGCATAAGAAGAGCCCTGCTGGATCAGGCCAAGAGTCCATCTAGACCAGCTTCCTGTATCTCACAGGGCCCCACCAAATGCATCTGTGAGCACAAAAGATTACCGGATACTGCTCACCTAATACCCCTCCCCTGCATCTGGCATTTTGAGGTACCTTCCTTTGAAGCCTGGATATTATACATCCCCATTGTGGCTTGCAACATGTGACGGACTTTTTCTTCAGGAATCTGTCCAATCCCCTTTTAAAGGCATCTAGGCCAGATGCCATCACCACATCCTGTGGCAAGGAGTTCCACAGACTGACAACACACTGGGTAAATAAATCTTTTCTTTTATCTGTTCTCATTCTCCCAACACTCAATTTGGGGGATGTCCCCTGGTTCTAGTATTGTGTGAGAGGGAAAAGAGCTTCCTTCTATCCACTTTATCCATCCCCTGCATAATTGTATACATCTCAATCATGTCCCTTTTGTATTTTTACTGAATTATTTCCTGGCCTCCCTTGGAAGATAATTCAGTAAAAATACAGCCTTCTTTGCTGTGGCACCAACACTTTGGAACCAACTGCCAGTAGAGCTATGCCTGGTCCCTCCCTCCCAATATTAAAAAGACTTTTGAAACTTTTGAAAAAAAATGCAACATACAAACAGTATTCAGGCCCACCACAAAAATACAACAAATGTTATGGTCAGCAAAGGACAAAAGGGACCCCCTCACCACTGCAGGAGTATACTGGATACGTTGCAGTTGTGGCCAGGTATATATTGGGACCACAAAACACAGCATCCACACCAGAATCAAAGAACATGAAAGGCACTGCAGCCAAAAAAACGGAAAAATCGGCAGTAGCTGAACATGCCCTGAAACAAGCTGGACATGAAATCCTATTTCAAAACACAGAAGTACTGGACAGCACCAGCAATCATTATTTTAGACTACACAGGGAAGCCACTGAAATCCACAAACACCAGCAGAGCTTCAACAAAAAGAAGTCTAAAACTCAACAAATCCTGGCACCCAGCACTGAAAAATACAGCCTGCAAAAGGGCAACGAACTCTACCCAGCCACAAGGACCGGTGATCACTGCACACAAAAGACTAGCTAACGACATCCACCAATCACAGTAACAATTACATCTCTCCCCCTAATCACAACAATGCACCCATAACAAAAAAAACCCAGATCACCACAATCACCCAATGTAATGTTCCCCATTTATTAGGTCAATGGTTCATGTTTTGTTATGTAGTGTAATGGTCCATGCATATTAATGTTGCTGAGAGGCGGAGCCGAGAGAGATGCTATAAGAGGTGGAGTCAGTAAGAGTAACAGAGTCAGTAAGAGTGAAGAGTGAAGGAGAAGTAGTTAGAGTGTGGAGTTTGGGGAATTCTGAGGTGGGATTAGATTTAGGAGTGTACTATCAATTAGAAGGTTCCTGTTAATAATACCTTTACCTACAGAAGATACTCATGAATCAATTTCAATCTCTGTAATCAATAAACAAAAATTCTATTTAAAAGACCTTGAAGTGTGGACCTGAATCTTCCTGAAGTATTGGTGATTTACTGATCACCTGGTGGCAGCCGTATAAAAGAGGGGAATGTTTGCCTTCGTGTGCTATGAGGCTTGACGGTCAAGCAAGGGCATGAGGGTGAACACCACACCCAATCTCCAGCTGATCCCACAGCTACAAAGACTCAACTATCCTACACCAGAACAAAGACAGAGTTCTAACTCCTGTCCTCTAAAGATGCCAGCCACAGAGACTGGCGAAATATTAGGGGGGAAAAAGCCTTTGGAACACGGCCAAAGGACCCAAAAAACCTAGAACCACCTTTAAAAGATTCTTGAAAACACTGCTGTATAGAGAGACCTTTTTTGCAACCCTATTTAATGTGTTCCTCTGCTGCTCTGCTTGTTTGTAGGCCTGTCCCACATTCTATTTTGCAATTTCTGCCTCTTGGCATTGTTGTCTGAGAGCTGTTTATGTTTTATTTGACTTACAATTATTTTGTTTTTAGCTGACTGTAAACCACCCAGAGTAGTGCATTGTACTAATGGGGCGGTGTACAAATTTAAGACAATATTAAATAAGTATTTAAAGCAAAATATTGTCTAGTATACTTTACAGACTTTGTTAGCAATAAACTACCACCACTCCCAATCCAGAAAAGACAAACTTGTTTTTAAAAAACCAAGGAAAAAAACATTCCCTATATGTAAGAGAACACAATACTGAAAGAAAACATTTGGGTAAATGGTACCTGCTGTATGATTTTAAAACCAATAAAAAATGAAAGGAAATATGCGTATTCAACTTGGTTTAAATCTGTGCATAAGCAGTGCTCGACTTGTTCTATGATAAAACAATAAAGGAAAGGAAAGCAACAGAACATCTTACCATGATGTTCTTCTTTCTTTCCTGTCTTTTCAATCTTCTTCCCTCTCGCCGCTTGTCTTTTTTCAAGGCCGTTGCTATTTCTTCCTTTACTTCATAGCTGTTGGTCACCTGCCCATTATGCAACACTTGGGAGTTCTGTTTCAAATATTCCATAAAACCATTAACATCTTCATTCAAATAGTCTTTTTTCTTCTTATTTTTTTTCTTCCCTTGGGTGACTTTTAAAGAAAGCCGATTTGAAGAACTCTGGTTTGCATTGCTTCCACTAGCCTCTTTTTTCATATTTTCCCATGGTGTTGCATCTAGAGCCTTTTTGTTGTGTGTGACGTTAGATCGAGCCCATCTTGTCATGACTTCATCCAAATGGTCCTAGAAGACTTTAAAACAATTACTCTGTTACTGCCATTTCCATGTTCAACATTGATTAATGCAGTGTGTGCATTAAAAAAAGGAACTATGAGACCACTCAGATTAACATCAGAGCATTTTGCCCAATTACCAAGGGCCTGAAGTGGAATAGGTGTCTCAATTAAGTCATGTCACCTAGGATTTTCTGTCCTATGCCAAAACTCTGAGCAGCATTTTTGTGGCAACCTGTGCCTTTTTCTTATGTAAGAGAAAATATTATGAGAGAAAATAACAAACCCCCTCCCACTTTTGCACTTGATTATGTCTTATTTTTCAAAACAAACAGCAGTTAAAATCATCTTCATCCTACTGGGTGCTCCTAATCTTCATCTTGTAAGCCAACCAACCTGGAAAGTAATTGGAAATGCAGCCCATACCTGTTTGAGCTCAGTACAGACTGCAGGGCTGTTATATTAATTTAACCATGATGAATCAGCTCAGCCTAACCTTACTAGATGTCTATCCTTGCTATGCTTTCTCTTCACGTATTCAGTCCCAACCAAGCTAGTCTTTGCCCTGGAAAGTTGCCCTTTAAAACTGAAAATCCTGTTTTCTAAAATAGTGATTGAGAAACTCTTAACTCAGTAGTTTACCGGCCCAACACTGTGAGTGGGGCCAATTGAGGCTAGTTTACTAAAATGCTGCAGGACAGAGTTCACTGTTATTACATGTTATTGCAGGTCAGAGTGAGGTTCAGGCCAAAAAACTAAACAACATCCTCTGAAGCAGCAGCAGCCATGTTAGCATGAAAAATTCTAGACTTCAAACCAGAGGATCTAATGTGTGAGACTATGGACTAACTCTGTGAAAACTAACACTGCTGATGAGGTGCAACATCCCTCGCCCATTACATCCTGAAAGAACAGAGAAGCAACTAGAGGGTCAGCTTTCCCCTCCCCTCCCTTATTTTTAACATCTCATTGACGAAAAGTAGTATTTTTAAAAACATGCACACTTCTGCATGTCTCTGTATGCTTTTTAGACGTTTCTAGTTAGCCTATAAACACATGACCTGCATACAGAGTTTACTGAAAATACTACCTGAGACTGGTTTGCATTTCTCCACATACATCAATTTGAGTAAAGACCAAAATCGTTTAATTACCCTGTTCCAGGCCTTCACCTGACTCAGACACAGGTCCATCACACTAGTAGAAGTCCTAAAACACATTTTCACCGAATTTTCCCACCCAAGCAAACTAAAACTCAGTTAGATAATGCAGGAACACTTGTGTTCCGGGTGGATTTGATTTAAACAACGGTTTAAATTTTTTTTAAAGGATCTTTTGACAATTTAAATAAAAAATAGATTTTTATGAAATAAAATTGGGTTTTTATTTAAATCGTTATATAAATCAATTTAATTTTTTTAATCATTGATTTTTAGGCGCACACCCCCCACACCCCGCTTGTGTTATTTTTGGCTGTAGTCTTTAGACGCGAGCAGTACCCGGAAGCCTCTCTACGATTCCCCATCACAGACACCGATTGCTTTCTCAGAGTTACGTCCCACCCTCACTCTTGCCAGGGACGGGGGACTGGAGAGAGAAGAAATGTTTTAATTATGACAGCAAGCAACACTCCGTGCGTCTAGATGTGTAACAACTGCAACTCTGTTCCACTGGATCACACGTGGGCAACCCACGGTCCCTCTCACAGCCCGCCTGGCTACCCCTCCTACACTTCCCTGCCATTATTTCTTACCGACAAAAGCTAAACTTTCCTCCAGCGCTGAAACCGACACGCGCACCTCGGCTATTACTACTACCGGCTTCTTGACGACGAACCACCTTCTCCGATCACTAACTAACGGAAACAGACCTACTTCCGCTCTCTGAGTCCAAATACCAGAGCGTCTTCTAGGAGACGTTCCGGCTGCAGCCCTGCGAAAACTCTATGGTTTTTCCAGGCCGGTTTAGCCGCTCCCTGGGCGAGCGTAGAAGGTTACCTTTACCCTGAGTCAGCGGTAAACGAGCGAGCTGGGTCGTAATGAAAGAAATTGCCTTTGAGTGCCAGGGTAGGCATGAAGTAAGGTCAAGAAGAGTACATGTTGTCGTGACAACCAGAGTGGTGCAATGGCTAGAATAGGATTTAGAAGACCTGGGTTCAAATTCTTGCATGGCTATGGAAACTGTCATTGAAAACCCTGTCAGGGTCTCTGTAAGAGAGAAATGACTTAATGACACATAACAAGAAGCTGTGTTTGCTTTTTGTAGCAACACTAACGAAGAGGCTTGT